GTTGTATATGTGTTTGTGTGTGTGTGTGTGTGTGTGTGTGTGTGTGTGTGTGTGTGTGTGTGTGTGTGTGTGTGTATGTATATATATATAGAGTTATAACTATGTCGGATGTTACATAAACAACCAAATATTTTTTGCGATATTTTCTTTTTTTTTTTTAACAACTATCGCAAAAAGTTCGTAAAGCTAGACGGGAGAGATTCACGGATTTTATTGATTACTTCCCACTGAGGTAAAATAACCGATAGTTATTTCACGGTGAAAACTGGCAACACAAGGATTTGCTGTATTATTTAACAGAAAATATTCTGTTAATAATATAGCAAATCCTTGTGTTGCCAGTTTTCACCATGAAATAACTATCGGTTATTTTATATTAGTAGTTTTGTATAAGTAGAAAAAACTGGGACTGAATCGTTTTTATAAACTAAAGTTTCTTTTGTCACGTTACGTTTTGCTCCATTAAAGTATTATAGATTAAAGTGTTATTTTATGAAGAGAAACTTGGGAAGCCTGACATGGCTTTCACAAGTTTCTTAAGACTTCTGGGGCGCGATAGGGCGACAGTTTCGCGCTTCATAGAACTTGAAAGATAAGTTACTGAACCGTTTTTGTTTAACTGGACTTGTATTTAATTCTGTTTCTTTTATTTTCCGTAGGTCCAAATTTAAATGTTTATACATGTCGGTACAGTTTTAATTAAATATTTTTGCATTTTTCATATCACACAAATATTCATTTAGAAACAAAAGATTTTGCGGAATATGAAATGTGAAAGAATAAGAAGCAATGTCTATGGAGTTACTGTATTTTAAAGAGGGAAATGGGTCACATCGGATCCGAGCGAGACAATAAAACAAGAACATTGGCAGGCATCCCTGCTTATTTTCTTCAATTTATGGATTTTAGCTTCGCAACTGTCGTATCATCTAGCATGTGTGATTCATTAATAATGATAATATTTAGCGAAAACTTGTGTTATCTAGCGTGGGTATATCAACATCTAGTCGATTGATCACAAACAATCAATCACGTTGCAGCAATAAAATCGTGTTTCAATGGGCAAACGCAGAATCATTTATACGGTGAAAATTCTATAAACTTTCGACATCGGCAGCACACCACTGTAGTAAGCTCGAATGACCATGTTTATCCGATGGAACCAATGTTCACAAACCAGCACGAATAAGCAACGCATAAAAGAAAAGAATTCATTTATGGTGTGGAGTCTAAAAAAAATACGTGAAATTCGATATTAATGAAGTTCAGAGTTTATAACGAGAAAATTATCTAAAAGATAACATTTCAAAAAACTGTGTGTGGGATATGAAAAGAAGGATATTGTTATTTCACTATCTCTCTATCTTTTAAGCATTTATCATGAATAATATTAATGAATTTATAATATTTGTGTGTAGACATATCGTAGAATTCTTGCATAAGCTTCTGTTATATTCCCAGATTAACTCTCGACGGAATTAACGTCGAGATATAGAAGACACATGTGAGAGACGTAAATTCACTCGCACACAGACGACATGTTGAAGAAACGTTAATCGGTACGAGCCAGCAATTGGGTCATACCGTGTCTCCGAGCCTCGCGGTAGACGACAGGCGGCCAATCTGTGACGCGCGAAGGCCGGAAACTGGTAGCCTAGAAACCGGAAACCGAATCGGGCTGCTGGCAGATCGCCGGGATACTTGCGAAGAGAAACGTGATATTACGCATGCTGCGCGAGATCCGATAATCGAACGCGACTCTCGCATGTAATGTGCATGCATACGTCAAGCGATAGGGAATGAAATCTGCGAGACGAGATAAAACCTGCAAGCAGCCGCGAGCGTTACACGCGACCCGCTTCAGTAGATATTTCAGAGGTGAGACAGACTTTCTGATGTAAACGCCTATAAATGAAAGTGATTTTCTATATTTAACCGTTTATGTATCGAACGCTGAGGAACTCACACGTGCTTGGTGGGAAAAATACTATCGAGAAATACTTTTCGCATATATGATGCGCCGATGCTTGATCGCATGTACATATATTCTGATTAATCTGTAAACTGTACTAACGAGGATACTCAGGTATCGCTTCTTTCTTTCAAAAGTAACTCAAAAAATTAATTCAATTCTTTGCAGCATCTTAAGATGCTTATCATTAGCATCTTTAACCCTTTTTAATTCTAGCTGGGGTTCCAGAAATTCCAGTGCAATTTGCTAAATCGAGATTTTTTTGAACTTTTCTTTTTCTTTGAATTTATATATCTCGAAGCTCCTTAAATATATTGACTTTTACATCATGGATTTATTTCTTAATCAATTCTCCATCGAAAAAAAAATGAATTGAAATATGTTCATTTGTACGATAATAAATATGGATGGGCCACACTGGGGTCTCAGAGACTAGAGTGTGTATATCAAGAATAGAAAAAAAAGAGTGTATTACTAGGGTTAAATTGACAATCAATTTAATTTGTGATGTTATTTTCAGCTTCAGTTTATGATTGCGTTTTAAGTTTGACAAACCGAATCGACGCAGAACTGAAAAATGTATAATATTATTAAGGATCAAGATCCATTTTGACCGAAAATAAGATTCTTTCTATTATTTGATTTATTCATATCGGTCTAATTATTTTCAATTATAATTTTCAAAAAATTTAATTAAATTTAATTAAATTTTCTAGACTCTAAAGGAAAAACCATTTTTTATCTAACAGAAAATGGTTGATTAATCAAATAATATTGGCAAAAAGAATGTATTTTTAACTGATCAGACGTTATTTTATCATTTTTGTTTCATGACTCTTAAAATTATCTTTTTTTAGTTGTGACTTTTTTTAATTATGTTAATTTAGTTAATGATTGATAGAATAATGTTTACTTAATTTATTCATGATAATAAAATCAAAAACCACATTTTTTAGTTGTGTTAAAGTAAATGAATGATATATGTATTGAATATATTCAACCTATGCTATGAATATTTAAAGTCGAAGCTGTTTTATTGTGACGATATCAGGATTAATACAAAGTTACTGGTTGCGTTATTATTATCTTGATCTGAAAATAAGACGAGCGCAAAATACTTTTATGTTGAACATTTTGACGCTTACTAAAGAAAGCTCCACTTTGAGTTAGACTAGGACGATAGTAGTTATTCTAAGATGTCCTATATATTTGCTTCCAGAATAATTGCGCGCGCTCCCCTTTCTCATATCGTCAAGTCGTTTGCAATCATCACTGTGGCGATGCCTTTTATAGAAAGGTACTTGCCCTTCCAACTTTATAGTCCTTCCTGCACGAAGGACTTCCCTCTTTGGGAATCATACATCAGATTCGAGGGGAACGACTCCTTCACCGTGTAAGATATAAGGCAAATATAAATAAAAAACTATTGCGAGAGTTTCCTTTTATTCGTATTAATGTCAGCGTTCGATAAGCATATGTCTAATGTATTTCAAGACTTTTTCAATATATTTTTTCAATTATTTCGAGACTCAAGTAGAAATACTTGTCAATATTACGGAGACAAAAGGGATACATTTTCGTGATCATAATTGATAAAATAATTATGGTCAGAAGCTTTATTATTTATAATTATTACTACTATGATGTTAGTAATATGTTTATATTTCTATGTATCAAAAAAACATATGGTTGGCTTCGAAAACGATTGTTTTTACATATTTAACAGAACTGTTCGTTCCACGTAATTATTATTATTAATATTACAAAGGAAGAAGAGATAATATTAATTGAAATTTTGGTTGAAAATTAGTCAAGTCAGAATTTTCTGGTTGAATCTATTCTAATTTAGATAACTATTTAGATTTCTGCTTGATATGATCAGAATCTTCTGCCTCGTTCATTTTCAACTAGAAATTTTTCTCAGTATATAGCAGTAATAACTATAAAACTGAAGCTTCTAACCGTATAATTATTTTACTATGCAATTACATTCACAAATACTAAACACTTTTCTCTCATATTCTCGCCATCTTCCTTACTTTGAAATCAATGTCTTCGATAATCGACTAGTGATTGCGTTCGCAGTCTACCATCTCCATGATTTGTACGCGGCAATAGAATTGAAGCAATAATCGATAGTCAAGATGCTTGAGGCGACTGCCGAACATGCCTGTCGAATGATTAAGTTTAAATTTCATTCCACCGTATATCTTCCATCACATATTGCCGCGTATTTCTGGAGCAGGATAGCGGTGCCCACGCAATCCTTGGAAATTACGTTTAATCACGCGTGACGCAACGGAGAATTGATAATATGTCTTCTGTATTGTTCGTTTCGACACACATATGTCCTAAGCATCCATAGCTGCAGCCACAGCGCAAGCCAGACCTCCGAGACCGCGAGATTGACCGCGTTTCGCACCGATACTTTTCAAAGCTTTTTTCGTCGTCGTCCCGTCTTTGACGCGCTCTCGTTCTCCCGCGATCAATCTTCACTCGCGTAACAGAAAATATCGGCCACGGTCCTCGGCACCGAGAGTAAGTGAACTTGGGAAGACACGATGGGTTTTTCGCAATCAAAGCGACGAGAATGAATCAGTAAGCCTCAACGAGTCAATTCTAAACATGAGCTTTTCTATAAAAAGCTGACTCCATAAATACGTGCGATATACATATTATGATTAAGTTGTCGCGCTTAAATGGTGCAAATTTATAATTACATTCATTACATAAATTATCCAGTTTTAAAATAGGATTTTTTTCTCTTATTTGATTTATTTTTATCTGAACTTTATTTATAATTATAATTCACTTATAACTATAATATTATAATTACAATTTGCAGAGTCTGCTTTAAATGTGACGTATGAGGATAATACGAAGTGTAAGATTCTCAACTCGACGTAGGATTTTTACGAATGTAAACGTTTTAAGTCTTTGAACGGCATAGGATATGTTTGAAGAGCAAAAGTATTAACGGAGCTTTTAAGAGAGAGAGTTAAATTGTGGGCCTATTTTATTTTTATTCCGAACCCATCGCGCGTCTGGCCGAGTGTCTCCCGCAACGGCGATGATTGGTTTCGGTCGTTCCACCTTCTGAGCGAGACGCGACGTGATGCGACGTGATGCGACGCGACGCGACGCGACGCGCTCGCAGCATGCGTGTGCGTGCGTAACAACGGGCGTACACATCGATGACGACAGCGCTTCGCCTTCGAGGAGTAAAGACCCGGTTGGGTGAAGTGACTCGACGTCGGTAGAGGTGACCGAGTGCAATCAAGTGTATCGGGAGTCGCTGGAGCAGATAACGTATTTACAGGTCAAAGTGATTGGCGGCGCGACAGTGTATGTGCGACACATCCCTCTTGCTCCCTGTGTAAGCTCGCACATAACCCCCCCCTGCCCCGTCTTAGATCGCCCACACACACACACACACACACACACACACACACACACACACACACACACACACACACACACACACCTACACGGGCGTGACAGACACAGGTCCTTGCACGCGTCCGGGATGTACAACAACGGCGATTGTGCCTCATAGTACTCACTGATATGTACGTGTCAGTTACACGAGGGTCATGTATGAGCGTGTTACGCGGCAAAACGCACACATGTACACTTAAGACTATATGCAAGCTTTGTGTAACGAGTTTTCGTCGAGAGTTTCGAGGGCCCACCACGAATTTGCCATCAAAGTACTTGCGGGAGCATCTTGTGAGAAATCTCCGAGAGGATAATCATTTAATGTAATCGTGGGATAGAGTCCCTGAAATCATTATAAAATTCATATGAAATCCCAATGTATAATCTAATAATTACGTATACATATGTAATTCCTAACCACGAGGAATTATTATGCAATATTAGATAAAATCGTGTATTTTATCAAATGATTTCATATGTAGTAAGGAAAATTATTTGTAATCAGATGATACTGTATGAGATCAAATGATAATACTATACGAAATCATGTAATCTACGGAACAATATTTCAGCTAGTGGTTACCCTCTCGGAAATCTCGCAGGTTGCAGATTGTAAATAAGGTCGCTTTCGTTCCATTCCGATAAATTCGTAAGAGGATCATGAAATTGGTAAAAGTGAGCAGTGAATCAGTGAGAAAGCTCAGTCCAAGACATCTGCGGAGTTAAAGAACGCGATCGTCTCTTCTCGAATCTATATTCTTGAAATATCTTATAATCTTTTCATCTTTTTTCTTTCAAGTTGATTCCAAACTTTTAAGTAGTATTTTTCTTAGAAGGAATTAGGTTTTGAAATATAACGATGTGATTTCCACAATTAGAAGGCAGCAGAGAAAGACTTCGAAATTTTACTCCGAATGATTCGGAAATAATAAATGATAAATGACGAGATTATTTATATACGAATAGTAGTAAAAAATGTAGAGTGTACTCGAAAAATGACACGGTTGCAACAGTCATCTTCGAGTTGCGTTTTCTGCCGGCAGAAATACTTCACGAGAATGAGAAACTTCGCGAGAAGCCTTGCTTTCTAATTCCCGCGTTTAGCGGCTTTAATTGTCACGAACTGACATGTCCTAGGTAGTAATATACTTAATTAAAGTCAAAGACGAAGGTTGATCAAAGTTCATTCGACCAGTTTCTATTACGTATATATAAACGTACCAAAAAGAACTTTATGCGTATCTTACGGAAAACGAGTTATTCAATAAGTGAAAGCACAGTAGAAAGCATAGATACAATAAGAATAAACTGCACATTCCTGAAGTTGTCACTATCAATTTAAAAAGAATAAAATAACTTGAATCATATCGCCCTTTCTTTCTCTCAAATATTGAGTTGAAGAGAGATGGTGACAGAGTTGAATTGAATCATATCAGCATATCTCAAGAAAGTGACATGCTGATATGATTCAATTCTTTCTAATGGAGTACAGATGCTAAGATCAGACAATGCGTAGTCTGTATCTGTTACATCAGTCGAAAATAGAGACCCTCTCTCAAATATGACGTCATTGTAGGGAGTATAGGATCACGTAAAACTTATAAAAATTTATATACTCTACAATAAAGAGTCAAATATTGTCGCCTTATTTATCTTAAAGTGTCCAGACTCTTATTTCAAAATTTCGAAAAAAATTCTCGAAAAAAATTCGTTAATGCCATGAAGGGTTAAAAAGCAACCGTCTGACATCTCCAAACTCGTTAATAGTCAGGAATTCAGAATTTACAGACCAATGAATTTCTGATAAACTTCCTCGAGTCATAAATGTGAAGAGAGCATAGAGATCGTTCTCGTTTATATATTGTCTGTCTATACAAGTTCGTCAGAATTATGTCTCGGTTTCTGCAAGTCTCTCATGTTGCACGGAGAATTCAGGTATCCTTAACAAAGTAAACTATAGGGCGGTTATCCTTATCCTTCGAGAAGAATGACTACGGGGCGCAAAATGGCTGGGATTTCTCTTTTCTTGAGTACATACGTGCACGTATTTTGGAGGGCTGACTCCTCGATTTCTCTATTGATAAATCTTAAATCTCAAACGGGGAACGCAAAGATTTACCCACGTTGTTCCACGCGAAATAACTAGGTCAGCAGAATTTTGGCGAACTTTCCTCTAGTCTGTATTTAAATGTGTGTGGGTGTGGGTGTGGGTGTGGGTGTGTGTGTGTGTGTGTGTGTGTGTGTGTGTGTGTGTGTGTGTGTGTGTGTGTGTGTGTGTGTGTGTGTGCACTAAAGCTTTAGAGATATCAAAGCGCAATCCTTTTATCTGAGCCGAAATGTCAACAACTTTCCTATTGACTATTTATTATATTTATTATATTTATTATATTTCGACCGCCATTTTCGGTCTAATTGTCTGTAGTTCAATAAGCATTTAGTATTATTGGAATATGATATGGGCCCTGTTTGCGTTGCTTGCATTTGGCATCTTTGCTTTCTCTCTTTTCAACGTCAAATATGTATATCTATCTCATTTTAAGTGTAAACATTTTTAGGGATTTCAAGCAACGTGAACAAACTTATGGTTATTAAATCGAAAATGAAAGATCTTTGTGCTACTTTGATATATCTAGAGCTTTATGAATTAATTCTAAGCAGAATTGACGTAAGACTCGTAATAACGTATTCTCATAAAACTTGTAAGAACTTATGATTAACATCCTAATTTTATGTATGTGTCATAAGACGTACGATTCTTCGTAAATCTACGATTCCTTGTTTTATGGTTAGTAAGAAGCTATCTGTGAAAATATTGTATAAAGGTATAAGCATTTAAAAATTCTTACAAGTCTTACAAGAATATGTTACGAGCCTTACAATTCTGCTTAGAATTTAGGCATTAGTGTGCCCGTGTATTGCAGCTTTGAATGCATTCCGATTTGCGCTTACAGGGCTTGTAAACATCACATTTATCCTTATTTAATATTGTATTTGATAAACAAGAATGAATTGATGCTTACGTATTGAAAACGAAATGCATCCTTTGTGTGTGACATTTTTTTCAATCGCGGACCGGTATTCATAGTCCGTTCTTATTACAAAACTGTCTTAAGTAACGTCTTTTAGGTCACCAATGCAATTCTGTGATTGGTTTACAACATCTCAAGACTGCACTTAAGATAGTCTTGAATATAAGAACTGACTACTGTGAGATGTATTGGAAAAACCGAAAGTTCGATCCACTTGATACTCCTTCTCGAACATCAACTTGTGTGTGTTGCTCATGCTGTTCACTTTTATATGACCTCCATTAATTCACGGCGCATTTAATTGTCCTATATGTATTTGGCGAAATTGTGAAATGTAAATACATTATAACGAAGCTATAAACGAGCGACGCGTGTATCTCTCTCAAGGCACTATTTTGCAAAATCGAAGATCGATGTTCCATGATATCAGCACATCGCCGTGTTATTATAGATACTGTTTGATCTTTGTTAATGAACTTGTAGAAGAACAACACTACCGCGAGCTGCCTGGAGAATGGAGAAAAGTTGACGAGAAATTAAACATGGTTGGCATACACCTTGGAGAGAGCAAGAAAAAACCGTGGAAAAAAAGAAAGCTTGAGAGCTATTCCCCATTCTTGGAAAAGATACATTCGTAAAAGATAACGAAGTTATTTCCTGCCATGCGTGTTCCTTTCCATGGGTTCTCATTTTTTGTTCACGTGTTCATTTTTCTTAAAACATTGTAATGATGATTAATCTCATTTTGTAAAGACCAGACAAAGGAGTCGTGTGTTGTCCAAGAAAATATTGAGAAACTTTGAAATTCTATTCCTGCAAAAACGTTCTCTTTCTCCGCCCTTTTCCGAAGTGATTGTTATACGAATATCTTTGAGGACTAAATTTGAAGTTGATTTACCGTCGCAATGACGTACGAAACAATTTGTTCAAAAATAGATAACTGATTTTAAATTTGTCAAGTGACATTTCAGTGAATTATTTATTCATGATCAACCTGGTCGGAATAATATTTTATACAAAATTGTAGGAGGCACATCTTCGCCATATCTTTTTTTCCCATGTTAAATATTCACAAATATTCATTAACAAAATTCAATTTTTTTTACAAAGTAAATAACAATAAATAAACAAATGGAATTAAATACAGGTTTGAAACATTCGATGTGTCATATATGTAAATAGTAATCGAAAAATACAAAAGTCGAATAAAAATTTTTTTTTAATTGTTTAAAATTGTAGAAATGCAAACGAAATCTGACAATGCGATGCGCAGTTTTTAGAAATTTTTTTCGAAATTTACACGTAAAAGATGTCAATAGTAGTTTATTGTTGTAAAATTTTAAATTCATTTTAGGAGTATTACGCCTTCGAGGTAACTTTATACAAACACCGTAACGTTCCAACGAAAGTCCTAGAGTAGCAGCAGCAGCTTTCATTGTACAGGTCCATTCATAAGGTAAAATCAATGACGAATTGGCGCAAAGAATTCTGCGGTTGTCGATTGGCCGTAGCGCGTCGCCATGATACCACCGTTAACCAATCAACGTCCTATTCGCGATATTCGCGTTTTCTCTCTTACTCTGCCATTCGTCGCGTGAAACAACACTCTTCAGCGAAGCAAAACACGACAAGGGAAGCAACGCGTGACTTTGTGGAGCAAATGCTACTACTTTCCCGTGAAACAATTAACTATACCGCTTCCGTTTCCGGATGTCAGAATTTTACATGATATCAGTAACTTTCAGCTTTAAGAAGTAGTAGCCTGAAAAAGGAAACTTTCCACGAAGTCGCGCAGCATAAAGTTATTTTAAAATTATGACGATACGCTTCAAAATACAATAATGATATAAAATTGAGCCATCTTCTCAAATAAATTTAAATACAAAGAATTAAATGTCTTTATGAAACACAAAAAATGTATAGCTGGTATCATAAATGGCTGTAATTAGTCATTTACAATGTCAGTTATATATTATTTTTTTTGTACAACATAGAATTTTAAATATAATTATTACTAACATTATAAGAGTAATAATCATAAAAATGGAGCTTTTAACTATAATTATTTTACCATGCAATTATAAACAAATTATAGTCACCTTTATAGATACCTTTCCTCTCAATATATCTTTATGAATAGCTCTCTTTTTCTATTTAACGAAACGAGTCCTTGACCGATATAATATTAGAAATTGTGGAGATTATTATTCTTCACGGAAGAACATGATTGCCTTCCTATACATATAACGATCCTGGTAATTCATCATAATCGCATATATGACCTCTGTTCTACTTCGCATGAAATCACCGCATAAAAAGCATTGAGTCATAAAGGCTGAGTCGTCCCGAAGAAGGTGTGTCATTAAAATTAACCCATTGTGTAATGTTCACAGCCTCTAACTAGACGATTGCATGTTGTTGTTTCAGGTCCGTCTCACTGAGAGCAAATCAAGGCAAAACGTGGCGGATTCGGTGACCCCTCGACTGTGATCAGGCCCATAGGCAGTAGGTAGGACAAGGAAATGCGCGAATATAAAATAGTGGTGCTGGGCAGTGGAGGTGTAGGCAAGTCCGCCCTCACTGTCCAGTTTGTTCAGGAAATCTTCGTAGAGAAGTATGACCCGACGATCGAGGACAGTTATCGCAAGCAAGTCGAGGTCGACGGTCAACAATGTATGTTAGAAATTCTAGACACAGCCGGCACGGTAAGTATCTTCCCTCTTAACACGTATCTGCTGTTTCTTTATTTCGAATACGCGGATATACCGTTAGACGAGAAATTGATTTTATTTATTTTAACCTGAGTGTTAATTTTGATTTGTTTTCTTTCTGTACTGTCCGTATTCATTATGTTCACGTAATGTGGAAGTTTTTATGAAGTAGTATAAAGACATGTTGTTTCATTTATCTCTTAACGCGTCGCGTAACTTTCTCTTTCACTTTATGATTGTAACAATACGAATTACATTTTTGAGTGACGTTATCATATTCTTGTCTGTTCGCAGGAACAATTCACAGCCATGAGGGACCTTTATATGAAAAACGGGCAGGGCTTCGTGTTAGTGTATTCGATAACAGCACAATCAACCTTCAACGACCTGCAAGATCTCAGAGAACAGATCTTGCGAGTAAAGGACACAGATGATGTGCCGATGGTGCTAGTAGGTAACAAGTGCGACCTGGAGGATGAGAGGGTAGTAGGAAAGGATCAGGGTGTCAACCTTGCCCGGCAATTCAATTGCGTGTTTATGGAGACCTCTGCCAAAGCTAAAATTAATGTTCGCGATGTAAGTTGTGACTCTCAATTTCATTTATTCTGATTTAAATAGCATTTTATAGTCGTATTTTACAATCTCATATCACTCGTCTTATCTTTTAATAAAAGTAATTAGCTCGCAATATTTTATACAATGCTAATAATGTTGTATTCTAATCGATAAATAGTTGATGCAGTCAAGTTTTAACAACTTGTCATCTTTCGCTTTCAGATTTTCTACGACCTGGTGCGACAAATAAACAAGAAATCGCCAGAGAAGAAGATGAAGCAGAAGAAGAAATCGCTGTGCCTACTTCTGTAAGGTATATGTGGCGGAGCCCATATTCTCCTACATGAAAATCCGAGGATACCAGTGGATTAAAAAAAAGGACCGGAGCGGTTATAAAACAAGGAAGATACTAATGACAAAAGAGGAGGAGGGGGCTGACGGAATATTAGGCGACAGTAGAACGGGAATCTACGGTACTGAAATCCGAATGGTTGTAAGATGATGGTAGAGAGACGGGAGAATAAGGGCATATAAGGGCACAAGGTAACGCAGCGGAGCGAAGAACGAAGAGATACGTGCAAAAGAACGCAGCGATAAACGGAAGGAAATATTGTATATAACATTGGTTCCGGGATGGCTCGTGTGCACGCGCAAGCAACGGCGCACAAAGTAGGATACGAGACCCCGCAAGCATCGGTTATCACTGTAGGAATTTTGCATGAATAAATGAAGGGGAAAATGATTAATTAATAGTATATATTTAGGAGAAAGGAAGAGATAAGAAAAAAAGAAACGTTTGTGGACGTGCGCGTGCGCAGACCACCAGCCCCCATGCATCGCGCTCTCGCCGCGCACCTCTCTCTCTTATATAATATAATAATTATACATAGATGGTACTTGAACATTATTGCTATTATTATTAATATTAATTATTATTATCGGATCATCAAAATATTCATAAGTTATCGAACTGTTTGTTTCTCAAACAAAGTATGTTTTTCTATATCTCTCCGTATTAAGGCAAATAAAAAAATCAATGAATGTTAAAAAAAAAGGGCCCAAGTTTCCTACTCTTGTAATGCAACCTGGATTTCATTTTATTTCATTCCGAGCCCCCTTTGTCTCGTTTGTGAACTATGTTCTGCCTGATTACTGTAGATAATTTCTCCTTGTTTCGTATTAATCTACATCAAGTAACATGTAAGATAAGAAGAACGGAATAAAATAACTTTGTGATATACGCAATGTAATTGAGATAACAAATGCGAACATAGGAAAATTTACTAATACCATATCGCAATAGATACAGACATATAGAGTGCGAGAAATCTCAATTAAATGCGTACAACAATTGTGAAACAATCGCGAAACGTACGAATCTATTTACACAAGAAGATGCGAATTTCGCGAGATATGTATTCTACAAGAGTATAACAAGATTGTTACTGCGTTTGCTTCTAAAAAGTAGAGTGTGGGAAGAGATCTTGTTATAAAATTGCAAAATCCGACAACGTCGTCTCGTTTTCTTTCGTTCTTGGTCTATTAAAAATATACAACAGCGAGCGCAATAACACGTTTTTTTTTAAATTCAGTATTTATTATTTCACGCTGTGACCGTAGCTAAAACCAAAAGCGATGAAACGCCACCGTAGTCATCACGCCGCTGAGATACACGCTATGAGAGAATATCCTCCATGTCGTCGCCGTGCTTGTAATGTTGCAACAATTGTTCGTTGCTTCCATCATGACCTGCGGATAATATTCGTTCCAGAATGCGAGCGCCTTGTAATCCACTGCGCCCGGCTCGTTCATCTCGATATTTTTATCGATGATCAGAATTCTCGGATTGTCCTCCGTATAGGGCTCCCACTTGACTGATACTGTCCTCTCCACGAAGGAAGGATCCCCGCTTTTGGCGAACGTCGCCAGCATCGTCATCATCGACTCGGACATCCTTTTGTCGTTGAAGTTCCATTGCGTCGCACCGACGCTCGTCATATGCGGTAAACCCCAAACGAATGGGAGCTCGAACATGTGCGGCACACCGGCCCATTCCGGCACGTCTTTCGCGACTGGTTGCGTCTTGGGACGATAGTCAAATCGATATACGAAAGCCGTCGATTTTTTGTTCGCCACTTTATTGGCCAACTGTGTCAAGCCAGCCGCGAAATTCTTTTCCGTTTGCAGGTCCAAATATCTGTCACGGAACACCGTCATGTTTGTCGTGGTTGGATATGGTCTGTAGAAGAATAGCACCGCGTTTGCCACCATCTCTGGCTTCGATTCACACGTGCTGTTGTCATCTGAGATCTCCACTGCCGCTGTGAACTCGTCTGTGATCATCATCTCGAAGTTCTCCGAAGAAAGTCCGCCCTCTGGATTCTTATCACTGATGACTTCCATGTACGCCAAAACTTGCTCGTTATTCGTGTAGCCGACCATTAACGGCACCGTATTGAAGTTACCTAATTCGTTGTTTTATTAAAGTTTAAGGAAAATTTAAATTATACCGAAAGAAATATAAAGATCGAAAGGATATCTAAAAGAATATTGGGAAGAATTCAAATAAACTTTTAGAGAACAAAAAAATATTTGAACATGCTTTAAAGTATCTTCGCGTATCTTTAAATCAATACTAAGATTTTCCCTTGTATTTATTTCTATCAATGTTGACGTCAATCTCAGTTTAATTTATTTTTCATCTTTTTCTAATCTTCAAAATTAGAAAAAGATAAAAAGTAAATTAAATCGTAATTAAAGTTAATCTGCATTGATAGAAGTAAACATTAGTGTCAAAATATAAAACGGAGTTTTGTAATAAGAAAAAAAGATCAATATGATGCTTTTTAAATATATTCGTTTATCTTTAAATTGATTTTAAAGACTCATAAAGAGTCGTATAACGTTATCATTACCATTTTCCAAGATGTCCCTCGGATGTTGCGCAAGAAATGGGTCCGTCTCGTTGTTGATTTCTGCGTCAACGATCGGACCCCAGCTCTCGATGTCAGATGAGTGCTTGATTAAGAAATCGGCTGATAGTCGACGTAGGCATTCCATCAGCTTGCTGGTCGGTCGTCGATCGCAGCCGAATTTATTAGTTATAATATCGACGATCGGCTTCTCTCTTTCTAGCGTGCCAACAGAACTGATGGCGTCCCCGCTCATAGCAATCGCCTTATGGAATTTCCCTTTACTGAGAGGACTCAGCATGTGCAGTCCTACACTTATGGCACCGGAATTGTGACCAAAGATGACAATATTATTGGGCGAGCCATTGAAGTATTTGATGTTTCGCTTTATCCAGTCAAGGGCGGCGATTTGATCGAACATGCCATAATTACCGGACGCCTCAGAGTCCGTCGTCGTGAAGAATCCGAGGATGTTTAATCGATACGCCACCGTCACCACTAGCACCTGCCGGCCGCAAAAGTCGCCCCTGTTTAATCTTGCGGATTGTTAAACTTTTCTCTGCGTTTTTTTAAGCGTGCGCGCGATAAAATCTCACCAGTAATCGTTACCGAAAGTTTCAAGATTTACTTTAGTTAATTTGTGCCACGCAAACGATCAATTCGTTCTCTTTTCCTCCGCGTGAGTTGTTCCTCAGAGTCATAAACGATACCGCATTATGTACATTCCGTCAGATGTATAACGAAAGCTCCATTAATAATGTATCGCGGACGAATATCAAAGGGTGCGGTTCTATGCTAGAAGTAACAACACGCGAGATGAGGAAAAGGAAAAGGCTCGGTCTGATTTGATTCCCTTCGATTTTACGTCCGTTCAGTAAATGTCCAGGGAATTGATTGAACACCGTTAAAAATACACGTTAATCATACTCTCTCTCTTCCCAGATATCGTGATCGTATCGATATTGATTAGATCGCTGACCGGGTCACGTTAATTTCAATCTTAGATTCCGGCCATTTCGCAAGTATTCCGCGTAATGCAATGTCGCACCTTTTGTTTGGAAACGAATACAGAGGCGTCCCAGATCGCTGGAGTTCCAGTGTTGAAATCGCCACCATGGAACCAAACCATCACTGGCCATTGGTCGTTCTGACGGTTTCCTACGCACATGAAATATTCGTTAACTATCAGAACCATCAGTCTATCGAAAGAGGGATGTTATACTGGTAAGAAGGTTTTTATTTTATTGTGAGACTCACGCAAGCTGGATATCATACTCGGTATCCAGACAAGGTCTGAACATCTACGATCTACAATTTTTAAAGATTTCGTAAGTGTTAACGAAAATGGATAATATTAACGAATCTAATATCTTTTATTTTATGATTTCATGACTTTAGATTGTAAACGTCTTTTTTATCACAAAATAAAGTAGAAGGAAATCTTGAATAATATCTTATTAAAACTTGACTGCGCCAAAAATAGGCTGTGATATAATCGTAGTCTGCTCGAATAAAGTTTCAATTCTTCTTTTCATATTATTTTTATTAAAATAAAATATAAGTGAAAATCTTAAATAATATTTTATTATTACACTATTCGAATAATGTTTTAGCACTTCTGTTAGATTATTTGTATCAAAATAAAGTGTAGAAGAAAATCGTGAGTAATATTTTATTAGAATTTGATTAAAGGATAGGCTGCATTAACAATAGATCGTTCGAATAAGGTTTTAACACTTCTCTCATATTATTTTTATCGAAAAAGTGTAGAAGGAAATCTTGAACAATAATATTTTATTAAAATTTGATTACAAAGATAGGCTATGTAAAACCGTAGGCTGCTCAAGTAAAGTTTTAGTATGTTTCTTTTCACATTATTTTTTTAAAATAACTTGTAGGAGAAAACCTTGGATAATATTTTCTTAGAATTTGCCAAAGATAGATACTGCAGTAACAATAGGTTATTCAAGTAAAATTTTTAGTGTTTCTTTTCATATTATAATCCTATTGTCGTATAGATCGAGAAAGAGAATTTATGTGAAGCCACCGCATACACATCCAAGATTCTATTTCCAACCTATCGAGCTTGTTACGATAACGGGGACCGGTACGAGATCTCCCTACCCCCCTGTGGTTTCCTGAACACGGACATTCAGTCCGGCATTATCGTCCTGTCGGTCTCTTAGCGACGACCTTGACAGACTTGCATACGTTTCTTTCTTTCGGTATTTTCCGCATTGAAATTATTGTCAACGGCGGAGGGGGTTGCAAGCACGCCCCAATGTTGCGCCAATAGCGCGACTTGGACCTTCCGTAAGTATGAGTATGGTATCCGGTGTAGTTTCTTACGTGAATCAATGACTCATGACGACGAGTCGTGGCGATTCAACGACTTCCTCACTGAAAGATGACCGAAGGAACGAAAAGAAAGGGTAAGAGCGAGAAGGCGAGCTTTCGTGACCGGCTTTCTGGTATCTCCGCATCTCCAGGCCGGGGCCCTGGAAGATCGCGTGCCACCGCGGGCGCGCTAGTTACTGTTACTACTCTTACTAGCTCCACGTTATATATCGACCTCGACTATCGTCGTCATCGTCGTCGTCGTCGTCGTCATACGTGATTTCGTGTCGCAAATCCGCGACTCCGCGTCCCGCGATCGGTCCTCTTTTTTTTTCTCGGATGGAGAAAGAAAGAAAGAGACGCTGTTTAGCGGTGCCGGATTTCGTTTGACGGTGGCCAAAGTATGTTGCGAGCTTTTGGTTTGCATTCAGCCAGGACATGTATTTGAAATACTTTTATTTGAAAAACAGTACTTGTTATAAGACAATTATATTTTG